ATTGTTTCTTTAAATCCATTTGACAATATCTCTTACTAAGACGATGTAGCGTTAAATGAAGTGTGGGTTATACTGGACTATAGTCATATCATAGCGTATTTTATGCCCAATGTCTTGAGCATAATGTCCTTTTGAAGGTCTTTAGTATCCGTCTTATCCGTTTTTGAAGTGGTTGCCCTTTCGTGTCGAATATAAGCTGCATGGACACAATGGCTGCGTCTTTCCTGATGCACTCAATAGCAGTCAAATTGTAGGGTGAAAGTAGCCTACCAGCTGTTGGAATCCACGATTCCAACTCTCCTGAAGGTTGTTGGTCGCGGTATTGGTTGTCAATTAGCTAGGTTTACATTCCATTTCTCTGGTGGGAATAATGGAGGAATCCACTGCACTTCGCATTGTCACAGGACCTGGATATTGTCTGGTATGTGCGGTGGCGTGATTTTGCATCAAAGTAATCTGCGAGGGTCTTCAAGTCCATCAGGAGTATTGTCTTCTATGTAGTCCATTCCATAAAACACAATCAACAAGAGAAAGGCAAAGTCCATCTAGCATGCCACAGAAGTGCTTGATATTGTCATCTTCTTTGTATCGGTTCCTCAGCCCAAGGCTCTGGATCTTTCGCCAGGTACTTTGTGTCAAGTGGTAGAAACATGCCTTGGGATTAACATAATGGATCAACTTGTTGTATGGCATGCAGGGCTGCTTGTTAGAAGTCTGTGATTGTTGTTGTGACATCCATGTAAAATCTAGTTCTCTCCCTTGTCATGAACTGCTGTCAACATTTCTTCAAATATCTCTTGGTTACCAGGCAGGAAGGCATAAGCACAGCTCACTGCAGATTCTCCTAGAGGAGCACGGATGATGTAGTTGTTCAAATAGAGATGGTGCTCGGTAAAGTCCCATCCATATACACGTGGAATCTGCCAGATAGCGTGGGCTGCTAGGTAAATCAGGTAATCACGGTTCCTTGCTTCTATTCCACTGTCATAAATTAGGAAAGGGTGTGGGTCTGATCCACCAGTCATTGTCCTTCGCCTTCAATTCCTACCTCTTGAAGAGAGATGATGGATCTTTAGTGCGGCCTGCCTGTTGATGTCACGGATAGTCCTCTTAATGGAATCCATCTGACCAAGCATAGCTCTTCCCAATTGAATCATCTCTGCCATACTGTCAAGTAGGATCTGTCTAGTATTTCCCCTCTTGGCAACTGCGGTTCCTTCCAGGAGTCTGTCGTACTTTTGTTTGCCTCCACTGCAAATGTATCTGGTGTGTGGTTTGTGGTCTATGGTAGAAATTATATTTTGGACATCAGATTTGTTGTAAGCTTACCATTGCAGGAGAAGGCTGCTCTCCTGGAACCTTCCTAGCATTTTGTTGAAGAAATTGTAGGCGATAACAGTTTTCTCTACCTTTATTTAACATAGCATTATAATTTCCATTCTGATAAGGGTATTTAAATTTTTTTCCTCGTTATATTAACTACAATTTCACTAATAATGATAACAGTGTAAATCCAAAAGTAATTCACAATACATCCATGATTAAAATATTAAACAAAACTTTTAAGAAAAAAAAAATAGAAAGAGTTCAACTTCGACTGTATTCAAACGTGCTTCAGGAAAAATAAATTAACGCACAAGTGAACAAAGGTTTTCATACAGTTTACCTCATGTTCCCTGCGTCATTAAAGCGAACCTGAGAGACCAGAGATTGTGAGGTCTACGGTGCACCTAGAACCTGACAACAACACCCAATGCTTGTCAAGTCACAAAAGTGGCTGACTAACCTGACTGTGACATGACCATCATCAGGCGTGACGTCTGATGATCAAAGGATGCCGCTTTGCAGTGTGGAAGTTCTGCAGTCGACTTATACAGTACAGTTGTACCCGCCGTGCGCGAGTTTTCGCTTAGCGATTTCTCATATCTGGCGATTGCCTTGCCAGAACGAACTTTCATAGCGGTTCATCTACCCGCTATCTGGCGCAGAGTGTCCATTTCGAGAAGCTATTTTTAGGTTAACCCCACCTGCTCCACTTCCTGCGCCTCTCCCTCCTCCCTCCCTCCCCTCCGCCTCCATCCCTGTATGCCGACCCATCTCTTCTACTAGCGTGGTTTCACACCTAACTTTTAGTTTTCCTAACCTAACCTTTATTTTTCCTAACTTAACCTTTATTTTCCTAACCTAACCTCTTCTATATTACTTGTTTGTTCATACCATCATAAAGTTGAGTAAGATATTTACTACAACATAGTTGTGTGTCGTCAAAAGTGGAGTTTGGGGGTGGGCCAGTCTCTGTTGATTAATCCCAATATGTTCTGTTGTTCATAGCAGCGGTTTCCTTGGGGTACCCTGTGAGTTCAATTGACGCGATAAGCTGGGTACAGCTGTGTATAAATATATATATACAGTATTCTGTATATAAGTGTAAAGGGGTTGTTGAATATCAATATCACGGATGTACAACAGCTGATTGATGCAATTAAAAATAGGTGATGTTACCCTTCTTGGTTTCATAGCGTTTTATCATATACCTTGATTACTTTTCGCCTGGTGAACTTTCATAACCGCAGTTTTTTCCACATATACGGCGGTGAGTGTCGGCTCGGGCAGCTATTTTTAGATTTGCCCCACCATGCACCCTGCCTGACTGCCTGTTTTAGCTCATAAAATTCATACAAATTACCGGTCAGAATATAATTTACATTGCTGGAATTCTTATAATTTGGTGATCATTTTGAATATAAACATCATAGCCTATATTTTTGCATTAGACATACAAATTTTAGATAAAATTATTTTTTCAGAGTAACTATGTTATCTTTTTACGCAAAATATATGACATTTATATTCAAAATATTCCTATGTCTTCAAAAGATCCAGCAATATCAATTATATTATCCTAACTTTAGTTTGAGGTATTATTTATTACAAAAAAGTTAAGTATTCTGGTTTTCACACATCTCCTTGGGAGTTGATTTGGTGGGGGGTGGGGGAGAGGAGGACCGACCGACCATCTATTTACCCATGAAGAATTTTTTTTTTTTTTTTTATTAACTGAAGATATTTGTTTTAGCTCATAAAATTCATACAAATTACCCGGTCTGAATACTATAATTTACATTGCTGGAATTCTTATAATTTGATGATCATTTTAATATAAACATCATATATTTTTGCATTAGACAAATTTTTAGATAAAATTTTTCTCAGAGTAACTATGTTATCTTTTGTGCAAAATATATGAGCATTTATATTCAAAATATTCCTATTGATCTTACAAGGAATCCCATGAGAAATGTCAATTATATTATCCTAACACAATCACAGGGTATTATTTAATACTAAATGTTAAAACTCTTGAAGGGAGGATTGGTGGGGGTGGGGGAAGGTTGGGACTGACGGCGCCTTGGTTGGAAGAGGGGTGAGAGGCAAAGGTGGGGTACTTTGATTGACAGATAGTGTCCTGAAGATTATTTTTTTTATTAACTGAAGATATTTGTTTTAGCTCATAAAATTCATACAAATTACCCGGTCAGAATATAATTTGTGCTGGAATTCTTATAATTTGGTGATCATTTTGAATATAAACATCATATATTTTGCATTAAACGCACTTAAAATTTTAGATAAAATTTTTTTTCTCCTAGAGTAACTATGGTATCTTTTGTGCAAAATATATGACATTTATATTCAAAATATTCTAATCTTACAAGGAATCCAGCAATGTCAATTGTAATATCTAACTTTAGTTTGAGGTATTATTTGTAAAATTTGAAGTGGTTTTTCCCAAAATTTCTCAGAGAGGAAGAGCCAGCAGTGTAGTGTGAGAGGGTGGAGAGGGAGTTGGAGTCCATTATTTGAATATGGACATTAACTGGCGACTGTATTAGCAATACGTAACTGGC